TTCCCCCCCCCCCCCCCCAAACCTTTTGATGCCGAAATCTCTATCACCCCCGAATCCCGACTCCCAAAAACTTCTGTTCTACTTCCGGAAACAAATCCTTCGACAAACAATCCCTCAATTTCCTATATTTAAATGCAGGTCCAGGAGTATCTCCCGGCGGGGCCACGTGCCATCGTTCAACAGCCGTGGTCCTTTTGCTTTGCTCTTCGGGCTTTGGGGCTTCTTTGATAGTATGGGGTCGACCAAGGTTAGAGTTGAGGGTTTCGGGCTTCGAGCGTTTCGGGCTGGTGATTTGGGTCTTCGGGGTAGGTTCCTAAGTAGAGGAGTTGGACTTGTCTTTGTTGCATAGGTTCGGAAATGGGATAGCTGCAAGGCCGTCAACTTCCCCGATGAGACGGGAAACCGATTACAAGATACAGTGGCTCTCGGGGAACTTTCTCAGGTCGTGGGTCGGCGCAGGGAGACTGATCGCAGACTCGATCGGCAATTCTGCCACATGTCCTAACCCATAGTCTCCTTAGTAGTTCCTNNATCCTATAAACTAATCCCCAAAAGGAACTACTGAGGAGCCTCTGGGAAGACAGGTGCATCAAGGAATTCCTTTCTGTCGAACCCAAACCCTAAAGTAGGCCCTTCTGCAGCAGGCTTCTCACGCAAACCCTAAACCTTACAAGCCCTAAGACCTAAAGCCTCTGTGGGAACCTCAGAATCTGAGCGCACCGAATCCTGACCCCCGAAGCCTCCAGTTTGATACCCTGAGTTCTCTAATAGAGGTCCCACCACAGGTAAAAGAGGGTTTTGGGGTACGGAGAATGGTATGATTTATAAGAAGATCATTAAGAGTATACTATATTCCTATAGTAGTGCTACCTCTTGACATCCGAGTCTCTGAGGGCTGCATCGGCGTACCTGGGCGTTCTTCGATGTCCGTTAAGGTCGCAGGGTTTAAGTTTCGGGTTTAAGGATGCAGAGTTAAGGGTTCGGGTCTAAGGATGTACCTACTTCCCCAAAAAGCCAGGCCAGGGAAACAAAATATTAAACTTTCAGAATAAACCCCAAAAGTTTAAAGTTTAGGTATTGGAGAACTAAGTGTAGGGCAACCCCAACTAGTACCAACTATACGCCTTTCTGGCAAACAAAATCTCTGCTCAACAGCGGCCCTGGTACATGTAGTAGATGGCTTTGCTGAGGAGCAGTGGCAGATCACACGCCTCGAGATGGTGGTGTTTTGACAGAACGGGTACCAATTTAGCTAGGAACCCCTATACTCAGGGTCCAACCACTCAGGGTCAACATCGGGGTTCGTCATTTTCTGAAACTTAATCACATGAACACCTGCAAATTCCTCTGCCATTGCCAGTATTCATATCATGTACTGAGATGTAATACTACACAGTATATACTACTGACAAAATGGGATCAGGTGTGATAAAGACATCCACACCAGTTACAGGAAGAATCACGAAAACACCCATTTTGAGACAATCAAAAGACCAGGTATGATAAGAATGAGGCGAAGGAAGGCAAGGCAAACCAAGGCAAGGTAAGACAAGACAGGATGGACAGAGGTATTGGAAAGTCCTTACTTGCAAACTTAAAGGTAAGAGTAACGGTTACAGTAGGAGAGTGAAAGGGAGGATAAGGCCAAGGCAGGCAAGGTAAGGCAAGACAAAAAAGTGCATGTAAAGGTCAGAGCAAAAACAAAGGTGAGAGTAAGGGCTGGCACAGCGGAAGCGAAAGTAATGTCCATGTCAAGGTACAAACCGGCAGGGTAACGAACGGTAAGGTAGAGTAGGGCAGGGGGAAGGAAAGGTCGGGGAAGCTCAGGTAACTCACGGTAACGTGAGGTACATGAGGTAAGTTATGTAAAGCAGGGCAAGATATTGTAAACTGTATACAGACATTCACCAAAACATCCAAAACCTTCCATTCTCGAAGTGGTGGCAATGCTGCGGTCATGCCAAGCGACATGCAAAGGGCCGCTGTCCTCAGTTCTGTAAAGTTGCTGGGCAGCTTAGCAATAGTCTATCGCAATTAAGACAGACTTCAAACAAGCTGGAACGCCAAAGCAGGGATGCATCCGGATATATTTGCAGACAGAATTTACGGAACCAGCAGCAGCAGCAGTGAGAGCAACAACAACAACAACCACAACCACAACCACAACCACAACCACAACCACAACCACAACCACCACCACCACCACCACCACCACCACCATCACAATCACAACCACAACCACAGCACTACGACGACTGCTACTTTGTACCCCTGCTGCTACTGCTACTGCTACTGTTACCGCTGCCGCTGCTACTGGTGCTGGTTCGAATCCCGCTCGTACTAAGGTTGATAACAAATGCTGATGATGTGGTGTAACAGGAAAACCATGCCTATTAGCAACTGCTTGCCATTGCTTTTTTGCGATTGCGACCACAACCACTGAGTCCGACGCCAACAAAAGACAATCTCACGCACCAACTTTCACCACGGATCCATGAAGAGTCGCAACTTCGGAGGATCCAGGGACTCGCTCGCCACCGCCTGAAAGGAGAACGGGGCCTGAGGGCTCGGCTCAGTTCCAGCGTTTGGGCTACGGCTCTGCATTTCGGGATATCTGCAGTTGGCATGTGCCCCCAAAGGGTCTTCGGTACCTATATATATATATACATATATGTATATATGGTATAGAGAGTTTGGTTAGTATTGTAAGAATTACTCTAGACACGGTTTAGGTAGGTATCTCCCCATGGCGGTACTTAGGACGTACCGTGTCTCAGGGAGCCTACGCACCAAACGGCAACAGCCCTGGAGCCTGCGAGCCTTGCGCCCAGTCGTCAGGCGAACCATGTATATAACAGGATTTAGGGTTTATATGGGGGTTAGGGCATGACGGAACTGCCGTCGCCGTGAGTCCCGGGCGAGAGAAGCCTGCTGCAAAAGGGTATGACGGAAAAAGTTTGCTTGTCAAAACAGTTGTGCGAAGACTAGCAAGGAAGGTTCACGATCACGATCAGTCGCAGTTATGTAGTTGTAGCAGCAAGAAAGTAACGAGAATCATGGCAGTCATGACACTGAAATGTGTATGTGTATATATATATATACATATATATATATACACATATTTATATTTATATTCATATTTATTTATATCTATATTTATATTTATTGAATATGTTATACAAGATTCCACAGACACTCCTCGATCCCTCAACTTGAGGCAAATGAAGCGACTAGGTTAGTGGATGGACAACGGGGTGATATGTTTGATAGGGACTTGGCATACTCCGTTTTTGCAGGAGGAGGCTTTCTACGGTTTTTGTTTCAGGAAGCCTAGCGCAAAGCCCAAGGTTGAATCGAAAAAGTGCTGCTACGCCTAGGGTTTGTTTCAATATGCATTCTGCATATTCAATATTTGTGCTTGGTGGCTTTGCCTGGGCCAAGTATTCTTTTGTTTGCAACTGAAGGCCAAAATTACCAGAATGGGGTCTGCCTCGTTATACGCTTCGAGATGGCGCTGCTGGCGGAAGAGCCTGTCAACTGCGGGCACTTCTGCCACTGACGATGTTCGAAGAGTGGGGTAAAGAGCTGGGCAGAAGGCTTCGGGGTAGTGGGGCTGTAAAATTCTGTGCACTGCCTTGGCCGATTGAATACTACCTTTGTTTTGACCTCGGGACCGCGGAGGGGACCCTTTCCAGTCCGTGCCGATCGACAATGGAGGACGGGCTACGTCAGATTCCGTGGTATGGTCACATGGCCTTCGTAGCAATATGTCCGAACTTCAGGGCACAAATCTGGAGTACACTAGAAGGTTGACAGTATGAAAGGCGACCAGTTACGCCAAGAAACAGCTGGATCAAAGCCACCCGCGCATACAGGAAGTCTGCCTCCAAGCTTATGGTTCGCTTCAGCCACTTCTCCCCTTTCTCCTCGTCGCTGAACCTCTGCTGTGCATGAAGGTGGCCTACTCATGCCATTCGTGTGTTTCACCCGACACAGACGCCCAAATCCTTAAAACATTGCAGCTCACCAACACCCCAACTCCCGCGCGCGTGCTCCAGGCACAATTTCAATTGCAAAACAAAAACCCGTCTCAGGGAAGTAGTAGGCATCGAAGTTGAGGTGTGCTTGAGTTTGTTGAATTTAGTATTTAAGCCTGTCAGTGGCAGAGAGGGCCTCTGCTAGACCCCAAATACCCATTAGTCGGGACCAGAAACCACTGTTTGAGGGTACAAGGAGGGTCCTGCTACCGACTGGATGTCTGAGAGCATCCTGAATGACTAGAAGCTGCAGCATGCCTTAGCTGCCCACTCCAAAAATCGACTTCTAACCACAAGCCCGACGAAAACGTATCAGCTCAGCGCTGTGCATGTCGAGGTAGGTGCGGGCGCAAAAGTAGGCTGCGGCAGACCGCTGCTGCCGCCCCTCCTTCTGAGAAAAATCGATTGCGGCTTAAGAGCTCAGTCGGTACCGTGATGATTTGGGTTTGGGTGCGGGGTGGCTGGAATTAAGCGCATGAGTTTGCTACTTTGCTGAAGATCAGATTAAAGACCTTTGGCTTCACCTACCACCCACCTACCTGCCTACCTCCCTCCCTCCCTCCCTCCCTCCCTCCCTACCTACCTACCTACCTACCTACCTACCCTACTGCCTACCCTGCCTAGCAACCTGAATGCATACATGCATACGTACATACACGTACAGACTTACCTTCATGCACACCTACCTACCCACCCACCCACCCACCCACTTCGCACCTCGCGGCCTGCCTCAGGCAGGCAAGCAGGCAGACAGACATACATACAGGCAGACAGGCCGACAGAAGAACAACCTTGGTGCGGTGCATAGTTTGCAACCTTAAACACCCACCAACCCCGAATTCCGGCTCCTGGCTCCCCTCCCTCCCGCTGTCGCGGGCGCGCCGTGCGAGGGTCTTCTGGGCCTCGGCGGCCAGCTGCCGGACCTCCCTGGAAGAGCCTCGCTGGGGTTTGGGGTTTAGGGTTTAGGCAGCGCTTCAGGCTTGGGATTTATGGCGGCAGGCTTGTTTCGGTTTAGATTTAGGATTTGGATCAGCTTTCGGATGTTGGCCTTGGGTCTATTTGCTTGAGTGCGGACACAGCAGGCCAAGCAAATAAGTGCAACGAAGCTCTGTCATGAACTTCTTCGATGTGCCGACAGGCCAAGTGCAGAGTGCTTTTCTTGTACTTCGTTGGCAGAGTCGCGCAGAGCCTTCTTGTACAGCGGTGGTCAGAGCTGACCAGGACAGTCATTAGCACCTCATCTTCTGAAGGGAGTTTGAGATAGAAGATCCAGCCGTTCAGGCCACGTTGGCCCTTTTTTTGATCTGAATCACGACTATTGCCACTACTCCAGTGATCTCCTCTGCACTTCAACATAATTAACATAGCCATGGTCCCACATACTTCGGCATCCTACATCTTTTCGAGGGCCAACTCGCCAAGGGGCCTCTACCAGGCCCTGCTCCTCTCGGCTTTGGAGTTGCCGGCACGATGCACTCTACGAGGGTTTAGGGTTTAGAGGACTCTACCACATGCCTAGCCGGACAGTGCCTGGTACAGTTTACGGCCCAAGGCTTTCCGTGCACTTGCAGTGAGCCTGAATTTCTCCCGTGGGGCTGCGCAACCAGGAACCAGCCCGAAACTGAACCCTAAGCTCGGGCTGCTTCAGGGTCTCAGTAGTAGTAGCAACAAGAATAGCAGAAAAGGAGAGTCGACTGCAGCATCTGGACCCGAAGTCTTAGACACTTGCACCTCGGGCCCCACGGGAGTCTCTGCGCCGGTCTGAGGCTGGAGCTGGTAGAAGTTCCAAAGCAAACACTGCAGCTGGGCTTCTTTCTTCAATGTCACTATCACGGTTTAGGGTTTAGGGCCCCAAACCCGAGCCTTAGATAACACCAGACTTCCCAAATAAAGCTACAGCCTGACTTTCCCTAAGCACCGGTCTTGGGACTTTGTCAGCCAGACCGAAATTGCATCTTTCCGATACATGTGCGTCTGGTCTTTGTCCAGGGTTTTTGGAGCAAGTTCCTCTAACCCGGAGCGATTCCAAGAACCTGGGCCTGGACTCTAGGCACTCCAGACTGTGTGAAGGGCCTTTCCAAGTTTCTCCTCACCCAACTTTGCCAAGTGATGAATCCAATCCAGAATATGCCTCTCCTGGATGGTAATATTCATTGCATTCACGAAGTCCGAGAAGGTCTCTCCGGTCAGCGTTCGCACCAGGAAGATGGTGACGGCCTGCACAATGGCCGCCTCCGCCAGTGACTTAATGGTCAACATCACAATCTGAACCTCAGAGTCGTGCAGGCTTTCCTTTCTGTCCTTCTTGTCTTGAAGGTCGTGTTTCAAAGTCGGGTCGTTTTGAATGTTGATGTCTCCATCCTGACAGGTCTCCTCACCCACCAGAACATCGAAGCATCCTCGGTTTAGCCCGGCATCATCTTCACCTGGGCTCTTGTTGAAGAATGTAGTACACATGTTTTGATGATAGGGGTGGTCAACACAAGCGCGGTGGCTTCCACCTTGGTTTCATAACCCACGCAATCCAACCTACCCAAGCCCCATAAGGCAGCGACTTGACCAACGCCCTCAAACCGGTCAAAAAGTCGTTTGCCCTGCGGCCCCAACCCTTTTTCAGCACGGACTGAGGTGCCGGCCCGCGCCCATGCAACCCTTACCCCGTCTTAAGGCAAGAGCGCACAGGAAAAGCTGTGGATTACAACGGACGGAAGCTTGGGACCCTAAGCCGTTTTCTCACCAACTCGCAGCCTTAAACCCAATCGAAAAGCCACATATAAGAGCATGAGACACTTTAGAACACTCGAACTCCGCACGTGCTCAAGATGGCCTTCCACTGGTGGCGGAAGACACCATGCTCCCGGCAACTCCGGTCAGTCGAAACCATAGATGTATCCAAAACACGTCATCTAGGAACATGAACGCCCGTAGAAGGGACAAGAAACAACTTCCATACCCAGAAAACACGGTTCGCTTACTCTGAAAATCTTCCATCAAGTTCCTGAACAAGAGCCCAGTCGCTGTCGCTTTCCATCTGCTCCCTTAGTCGGAGGAGCAGCGCCTCCACGATCTTCACGCCTCGGACCCCCAAAGTGTGGTCTTCTCGGACGTTGAACTTGAAATCTTTGCTCAAGCGGTTCTCGTCCAAGCGGATAAGCAATGTACGATCATCCAGCTCCAACTGAAGCTCCCGATGCGGCATGATGAAGTAATACCACTCCTCAATATAACTCGGCGCCTCCTCGCCATCCGACGTCTCACTGCCCGACTCAGGCGCGATGTTCAGGGCTCTGCGCGCCCCCTTGTGGAGGAGACCATAGGTTTTGCGCTTCGACTCCTGAAACAAGCCGATGCCCTTCCAAATCTGGAACCAGTGTGAGCCGATTAGGATGCCATAGAAAGCGGCCATCAGGACTGGCACCACAAAAGAGGCGAAGATGTAGACCAAGTACATGTACACAAAGGGCCAAAGGGTGGTCCAGTATTTGTGGATCTTTTCGGCACCATAGTGGCCAGCGGTCAGCAGCCAGATCAGACAACAACCCAAAGTGATCATGTGCACCTGGATGCACTTGACGAGGCAAAACAGCCTCGACTTGAAGACAATCCAGTAGCAGAAGAGGACGGACATCAGCACCTCCAGGAACATTACGGGTATCACGTACGGCAGCAGCACAAGTGCGTAGACCTGCTTCGCGATAGTCAGCCAACGGGCCCCTCCAGGGCAAAATGGAAAGCGCACGTCTCTGTAGATGTGAGGCGTCCAAAGTTGATAGTACCGAGACTCTGCGATGTCATCCCGGAAGACAGCACCCGGGCTCTGCAGCCGGAGTTGATTCCAAATGCCCAAGCCCATGGTGAAGTTTGGGGAAATGCACCAGACCGCCATGGCGATCATGACCTCGTTGTATCGCGAGCTCTCCGCTTTGTTCCTCGTCAAGAACTTCTGCACATCAAGGCGGAAGGCGTTGGCCGCAAGCCCAATGAAAATCACTCGAAACAGACTGCTTGCCAGCCACTTTATCAACTTCTTCTTCCATGTCCCCGAGTTCGGCTTGAATTTCAGGTCAAAGCCGAAGACGAAGAAGACCACAATCTGCTTCAGGCCGTTGGTCACCGGTAGCAAGTAGATGGGCTGCATGGTCTCTGCTTCCAGCACACCGGAGAACGGGTCGCGCATGATGGCCTGCCTGTAAGGCCCACCCGGGCCGGGAACAGAAGAGTCTGCCACATCGACGTAGTTTGGAGGAGTTGGCAATGGGGAGTGCCAACTGAAGCAGCAGCCCAGGTTCAACCCGTCCCAGGTAGGACAGCAGTTTCCTGCTAGATGTTCGCATCCTGGGTGAGCTTTGCAGGATGGGTCGCTGGAAGTCTTTTTCGGCAGGCCGTCCACGTAGAGCTGGATGGGTTCAGCGGCAGTGCCGGCCTCTTCATGCCCTGCGGCGCTTGCAGCGCCGACGAGGAGCAGAAGGACACGTGGCCCTGGGTACAGCCATGCTGCCGCCATGGCAGGCGCACCGCGGGGCCACTCTCTGTAGTGGCAGACTGTCAATGGACCCAGTAAAAATGTTACAAGTCATGTCGTGACCAGGATAACCCCTAGGGCACTTCCAAACCCACTCTTCCCCCACTTTCGGAAACTTCGAGCTTAGGACTCGGAGCTCCATTTAGGAGCAGGCGCAGGAGCTTGCAGAGTTTCTAGCTGCCTGACCATCATCTGCAAATTCCTCTGTAAAGTGCTCCTGGACAGAGCGAGATGACCGATAAGAGATCTCCCTATAAGCCGGCACAGCGGCGTAAAGCAGGAACGAGCAGAAGCTTGCTAAACTGGAAGGGAAGCCCGAACAACCCGAAACCCTACTAAGCAGCAGAAGGGGTTAACGCAGGGGCGTCAATTATTAGAACAGGGTTTTTTGGGCTCCAATCATTAAGGCCTGTATAGCAAACTTCAATTGACCCAAGTGCAGCCATTGTTCAGAGATTTCGGGGGCCAGGTCTGGCAAGCATACCCGTAACCTACTCTTGTAGGTTTGGAGTTTAGGTTCTTATTCTGAAGCCTAGTATAAAGCTTATGACAAGTAGGTGTTGGTAGATTAAGGTAGACCCCGAACATCCAAGCAGTGTTTCTAAGGCAGAGGGCAGGCTTCCAGAGCTTAGGGCGTGCGGTGTTTGTAATGTAGGGGTCTAAATAAGTACCTATACTATCTATACTATCTTGGGGGTTGCTTATTATAACTATAGGATAATATTACCCCAAAACCTTATTTCAATTGTTAAGGCTTCTACATTTAAGCCAAGGCAGCAGGCAGCCTGCGGCAGTCAAGTCGAACTGCCACTCTTTCTCTAAGAAGCCCCTTGTTTTTTTGAAGCCGCAGCTCTATCCCATCAGCTGAGAGCCACGCCCAGAGGACATGTCCGGATATTGACCAAATAGCCCCTAAACCCTGAACCCTAGAGCCCCTAGAGCTCTTATGGCATGCAGCTGCCGGCCTCCACTGCTCAGCTCCATGGCGAGGTCATATTGCAACCTCACTGCCGGGACAAGCCATGCAATGAGCGGCAAATCAGGATTTGGGGGTTTCCGAAAACAGGGCACCCTAATATAGTACCCTTAAATAATAGGATCCTTATTGTAAGGACCCCAAAATAAGGTACCCTAATTTTCGGAAAGTCCCATTTGGCAAGCCCAGCTTTGGAGGAAGACGGCCATCCCTGTACTTCAACCATGTCACAGAGACGAGTCCCAGTTTTGAAATCTGCTTCTGAGCTAGGGTCCCGGCACTTGTAGCCGGTAGTCATGACTCTGCTTGAGAGTGTTTTCGTTTTCGGGGAGTTTTATGTAATGTAAAGGAGCGTGTGCCCTGGGATGATTCCGGTTACAACGAGCCTGCATCCAAGGACTGGCAGGGAGATTTCTGACCGGCCCATCCGTGGAGAACTTTACTGCGTAGTAGTGCCTCGTTGTGATTTTGGCTGGTGACGAGTTGCTGCCCAGTCACAGCACAGCACTAGTGGCAGCAGTGTTTCGGCGATGATATCAGTAGCAATAGCGTGGTTCTTTCGCCAGTTTCGTGTCATAAATCCATGAAGGTCAATTTCTACCAAAGTCCCAAGCATGCAGGGGTGTCGAGTTTAGGGTCAGGGCTTCTGGGATNNAGGGATTGAGGGTTTCGGTGCTCGGTTTAGGGAGCTTTGTTGTGCTTTTTTAACAATTTACATCGCGCAGGGGCCCAGGTAAACTTCTCTGTATCGTATCATCACCAACAATCGGATCAAATATGCGCAAACCAGATGGTCACGGTTTAAGGCTTGGCGTTTAAGAATAGCATGCCACAGCAAGTGACAAAATACCTTGCGCAAAGTCAAGCAACACGCCCAGATAGTACATC